TGCCTCTTGTCCTTGGGTCATTTTTAACTGCACTCTCTTACACTCTAAAATTGTCCTGGTTTGGACAGTAAATTATATGGCCACCTTCCAACCTAACAAATCAAACCCACACCCTATAAGAACATCTCAGCTAAAGGACTGTCATTGAATTCAGTGTTTCCTGTTTTCAAAAAATGGAAAATGGCCGGGGGGAGGGTATAGCTCAAGTGGTAGAGTGTATGCTTAGCATGCATGAGGTCCAGGGTTCCATCTCCAGTACCTCCTCTAAAAAATAGATGAATACCAAGGTAAACCGAGTTTACCTCCCTCCCCCTCAGAAAATAATAAAATTAATAAAAATTTTTTAAAAATGGCATCTTATCCACACCTGAAACCCCATCAGCTGGACTGGGGCACCCAGCACCGTTACTTCTTATGTGTGCAGTGACTACAGATTCATTCGGGATTAAATGCAGTTTTGTCAGTATTGTCTGTATCTCTAATGACCAAGTCTAATCAATCATCTCAGATGATAATACCCTATGTCACCTGTCCCAGAGATGTTTAATAGAGTGTCTCACAGCCCTCAGATCAGGAGTACTGCTGCCCTTCTAAAAATGAGTACAAGTATGCCTTCTTGTTGGGCTATCATTTTTCAGGACTAAAAATGCTTCTTAAAAATAAATAAAAGCCCATGCTATATTTAAAAAATCCCAGTGGGATTTCTTGCAGGAATAGAAAAACCAGCTTAAAATTCATATGGGATCTCAAGGGGCCCCAAAGTGCCAAAAAAAAAAAACTTGGAAAAAAAAACAGTTGGAGGACTGATACCTCCTGATAATAAAGCTTCCTACAAAGCTACAGTATCAAACCGTGGCACTAGAATAGGGATGGACACACAGGCCCACGGGAGTGAAAGACCCTTACATCTGTGGTCAGCTGACTTTCAATAAGGCACCAATGCCATCCCATGGGGAAAGTCCACTCTGTACACCAAATAGTGAAGACTGGGCGGCCATGTGCAGAGTGAAGTTAGACTTTTACTTTACTCCACGTGCAAAAATTTATCCAAAATGGACCAAAGGCCTAAATTTAGGGGTTACAACTCTTGGAAGAAAACATTAGAGAAAATGTTTATGAAACCTTTATTTAGAAATGGTTTCTTAAGCGTGATACCAAAAACACAGGCAACAAAATAAAAAATAGATAAATTGGATTTCTGCAAAATTTGAAACTTTTGCATCAAAGGACACTATAAAGTGAAAAGACAACTTGCAGAGGGTGAGAAACTATTTGCAAAACATTCCTAGTAAGGGTTTAATATTCAGAATATATAAAAAAAACTACAACGCAACAAAAAGTAAACCCAGGTAGACATAGTCAGTTAATTTACAACAAAGGAGCCAAGAACATACAATGTAGAAAGGACAGTCTCCTCAACAAACGGTGTTGGGAAAACTGGACAGTCACATGTGAAAGAATGAAACTGGACTACGTGCCGTGTACAAAAAGTAACTAAAAATGGATTAAAGGCGTGACCTTCAGACCTAAAAACCACATTTCAGCTAAACCACACTGTTTCCATATCAAGCAATGTGGGTATACTGTTGAGTCTTATATTTTTAAAAATGGTAAACATTTTTTGAAAAGAATTTAACGGCTTCCTGGGCAGCAGCTTGTCTCTATTCAACTCTTTTTTTCCAGTTGGCTTGCTGGAATTTGCCCCACACACAGATGGCCAGTGCTCAACTAGACACCTGGATGTGGTTTATACACAGACTCTGGGCTCCCCTCCCCTGGCTCTGTCTTCACTTCCTGTGGCTTTAGCTGTTCTGTTCTCTGTTCTCTGCTTCTTCAGTGCAGAGAGACTGTGTGTTTTCGATCAGAGCTTCAGCCTCCCTTTTGGGCTCCTAGTCTGGCCTGTCCTTGACTATAAGCCATAAAAAACATGTCACTTCCTTTTCCCTACTTCCAAGTGTCTACTTCCTTCCAAGTCTGCCTGTTTGGCTCACTACAGTGCTTTCAGGGATTTGTTTTTGTTTTCTGTCCAGAGTTCATACTTGTTACGTGAGAGCGCATTAGTTTAGGATATTACTTTACCCTGTTGGAAGCATAATGCCATGGTGGTTTTACATTTTTTAAAAATTGAAAAAAATTAAAAACCCATAAATAGAAAAACACTTTAGACCATGTTAGTCCCATGGATAGGGGGAAATGCCTTTTGAGGCAAATACCTCACCATGTCACTTATTTTTAAACTGGCCAATTTCTACCCACCCTTCTACACTTAGGTCGGCAGAGAAAACACTTCCAGACCCCCTCCACTGCAACTGCCTGGGCAGGGTTAGGGTACGAGGTGTCATGGAGTGTTTTCCTATTAACTGGACTTTCCTTCATCTCTGCAGTCTCTTATTACAGTCGTCCCTCAGGATCCGAGGAGCGGGTTCCAGGACACTTTGTAGATAACCAAAATCCACAGATGCTCAGGTCACTTCTATAAAACGGTGCATTGCTTGCATATAACACATCCTCCCGTATACTTTACGTCATCTTTAAATTATAATATTTGGCACAACAGAAACGCTGTGTAAATAGTTCTAAATATAATGTAAGTGCTGTGTAAATAAAACATGGCAAATTCAAGTTTTGCTTTTGAGAACTTCCTGGGAAACTTTTTTCAAACATTTTCCATCCCCATTTGATAGAATCCTTGGATGCGGAACCCACAGATATGGAGGACTGTACCATACTTGCCTGCTAATGTTGCTGTCTACCCACTACACCGTGGGTTCTTAAAGTAGGATGCCACTTCTGGATCAGTAATTGCTGCTGTTTCTTGAACCCTTAATAAGTGACAGACAGGTTCTAAGAGCTTGGCTCATCTGTTCCTTGCCATAACCCTTTAATGTAAACACTGAGCTGGTGTCACCCCAATTTCAACAGGTAAGCCATCTGCCCCAGGTTATGCAGGTAGTCAGCATTGGAGCCATACTTAAGGTTAGCAGTTTTCTGGTGGCTGGATGAGTGGAACCTGAACAAGTCCCCTTTCCCAGCCTAAGTTGTAGAATAACATTTTCTCTTCTCTTTTTAAGTTTTAGTGATTTTTAAAGCACAATATATGATTAATCCTTACCATAAAAGAATTAAAACATAGATAACGTTCTCTCACCAGAAGTTAACCATGATAGGTGGGTTGGTTTGTTTCTTCCAGCCATTTAATTCGTACCTACATATAGCATTACTTTACAGGGGTCAGCATTCTCTGTATTTTCCTGCAATTTGCTCTGTTCACTTATGTCTTAACAGGCATTCCACATTAGTACTTACAGACCTACGTCATTCTGTAACAGCTGCATAGCATTCCCTAAAATACTTATCCTATAGTTGATTAACTCATTCTATTAGTGGTCATTTAGTGTTATTAGTGGTCATTAGTGTTTTCAGCTTTTTTCCCATTAGAAAAAAGCTATAGTAAACAGTTTTGTCCACGCATCTTACGGGAATGCTTCTCAGGGATATATTTTGTGTTTTAATTTTATTTATGTATAAAGCTGTTGTGATCGCGGGGCATTTGAAATCATTATCTATAATACAAGTAGAGAGCACAGAAATCCTTCCACGGTTGAATGACCATCTTGATTAATGTTGTAGAGCCGAGGGGCCTGAATGCTAAGGGCACCCGAAACCGAGTCATATCTGCATGCCCGGTGCACCGGAATGCTCATCACAAGCAATGTTTATAGAGGTGTATCGTGTACTTTGTAATTCCTAACTGACATTTCCGATTTCACTTTGTATTAAACTGATACTTCTTTAACATATCCATGGCGTGCCTTACTTCACCGCGTTTTATTCTTAGAATAATCCTATTCATATTTGTTATTAAACAAAATAAAAGTTTGGGATGATTGACTAGCTAACTAAACATTGATTTTTGAGAACCTGCACATTACCAATACTGCCCTGGGTATTGGGGATATAGCGATTAATAAAGCGCACAAAAATCATTACCCTTACGGAGTTTCCACGCTACTGAGGGAACAGTTAAAGAATAAACAAGTAAATAAACTCTTTGGGTAAGCAGATGAAGGACTTGGGGGCTGTAACGTCCCACAGGACGGCGGGGAGGCGTCCCCGGGAAGGCAGCCTCAGACCAGGCCCCGAAGG